TCAAAATAAAAGTGGCCACACAGGGAGCTCTGATGCACACAGATCTTAGAAGTTCCCATGCTCTCGGAAAACTTCTGACATACTTTGAAATTATATAAATTTGAATACAGTGGAGTGGTTAAGAATCAGGCAGCACTCGAATTCTGATTCTGCCACCTACTAGCTGTGTGACCTTGGATAAATCATTTAACCTTTCTGAGCTCTAATATCGGAATGTGTAAAATGGGGATAATGGTACTCACTTGTTAAGGTGGCTGTGCATGAGATAAAATGGTGCCCATGAAATCCCTGCACAGTGGCTAGCACGCAGCGAGTGCTCAATCCGTGTTAGCCATTATCGCCATTCCACAAAAAACAGATGTTCTTAAAGGACGACTGCAAAAGAATAACGCAGATGGGTAAGAATCACACTGGGTAGGTTAAAGGACAGGCTGATCTGACACTCGTGAAACCTCTAGGGAGCACTCAAGGTGGTTCTGGTAAAATCATCAAGAAGGAACACGGACATCACTCCCGGACAGGCAGTGTTGATGGCGGATGGAAGAGCAGGACAGTGGCTTGCTCGTGTCACTGCTGTCTCCCCGGAATGATGTGCTTTAGCAACAAGCACAATGAAGAGGGGACTGAAGACCAAGAAAGGTCATTCCGCATCACCCTAAATGAGTGTCAGTCCCACTGCGGGACGCTGGCACAGCTTGCAAACGTGGTGGTGGAGGACTGATCTTCACAAACCACTTTGAAGAATCATGGGGAATTGGAGAGGAGTCAGAAGCCTCCAAGAGGGTTAATGTGGCTCCAATTTTCAAAAATAGGAACAAGGATAGATATAGAAAATACAGAGGTACATTTAGCGTCCATCCCTAGCAAAGCTCTAGAGATTATTTAACTGAAGTTATGACCGCAACAGCCTCCTGACTGGCTGCTCCCCTCCTGCCCTTGTGTACCCAAGCCCTGGCTCTGTCTCAGTCTAGCAACGAGGGATCCCCTTTAGTCAAATCATGCCATGTCTGCACAGAACTCTCCGGTGGCTCCCCCTCTTACTGGAAGGAAAAGCTGAAGTCCTTACAGTGGCCTGCAAGGCTCAACACGATCCTGGCTGCCTCTCTGGCCTCAGGTCTCAGGTTACTCCTCCTCCTCCCTCTCTTGCTCCGGCTGCACTAGCCTCCTTGCTCTTGGCCTTCACCCCTGCTGTTCTCTCTGCCTGATCACTCTTCCCCCAGATAACTGCTTGGTTCACTCCCCCAAGCTTTGCTCACATGTCACCTTCTCAACAAGGCCTTTCATGAACATTCTATTTAAGTCCCCACTCCTTATCCTCTTCCCTGAATTTTTTTTTCTCCATAGTACATAGTACTCATTACCATTGAACAGATTATATATTTTTACTTACTTCTCCTGTTCATCGATTTTCTCCTCTTCCTAAAATGCAGGGTCCATAGGCTCAGGGATTGTCTGTATGCCTAGGTCCTACATCAGAGGACCAGTGTCCGGCTGGTGGGAAGGCTGCAGTGGTGAGCCATGGGACCGACTCCTGCCCAGGTCTGCTCCACAACCCATCCCAGCCACGGGTGAAGACTTAGAAAGCAAGATGGAATTTGCCAGTGGCAAGTACTAGGGAGGGAAAATGAATACCTTAACAAGTGGACTAAGTTTTGAAATCATCTCAATAGATAGAAATGATAGGCTCTGGCTGGGCACGGTGGCTCACGCCTGTAATCCTAGCACTCTGGGAGGCCGAGGTGGAAGAATCACTTAAGCTTAGGAGTTCGAGACCAGCCTGAGCAAGAACGAGATCCCATCTTTACTGAAAATAGAAAAATTAGCCGGGTGTCGTGAGCACCTGTAGTCCCAGCTACTCGGGAGGCTGAGGCAGGAGGATCATTTGAGTCCAGTAGTTGGAGGTTACAGTGAGCTATGATGATGCCACTGTACTCTACTTGGAGCGACAGAGTAAGACTCTGTCTCACAAAAAAAGAAAAAGGAAAAGAAATGATAGGCTCTAAGAAACAGTTTAAAATTTAAACAGAAATAAGTATTATTTTCTACTTAGGATTAAAAGGAAAAAGCAATCTGAATGTACAGAGGAGACCAGGCTTAACAGCTGTTTCGTTTGTTCCAAACCCAGCATGTGTAGTTGCCTACACGCTTGGTCTGGTGTGAAAGCTAAGACTTCAGATGCCACCTTAGGCTGTGTTAATAGATACATGGAGCTGTGACGAGGGGAGGGGATGGTCCCACTGTCTTTCCCCTGGCTGGAAACACACCTAAGCCATGTGTCCAGCTCTGTACCGGGGCAGAAGCTGCTCGCTCTCAGCTGCTCAGCTTCCAGCTGTTCCCCGACACAGCAACCCACAAAGTGCCTTTTCTCCCCCTCCCCAACTGGCTCTGTCCCTGCAGTGTCATCTGTCTTTGCAGGAGAAAAGCCACCTTCCTTTCGCCACCCCACCTAACTTCTCCAGTGTAGCCAAACAGTTCAGGACCTGGGAATTCAGTTGAAAGATTAAATCCCCATCACTGACCTTTGCCCCCCAGAAGAAGGGATTCACGTTCGAGGGCTCAGGCAGCCGTGAGCCCCACAGCGGCTGAGATGCAGCAGCGCATCGAGAACCAGGCACGGGAGCTTGGGAGCCAGAGCTGCATCCTCAGGGTTCGTGATTTCTCCCCTTCCCCAGGGGCTCACAGCTTCCAATCCTCTTCGTTTCCCGTGTGTCACCGAGGAGGCTGAGGGAAGTGGAGGTAGCAAAGAGATCCGAGGCAGCAAATGGTCCCCAGGGGCTGGGAACACGCCTTTCCAACTGCAGGCACATTTGCAAGTCTTCTGGTTGCTACTGACTGAGCACGGGGCTCGTCGGGAAGTTCTGGGGTGCAGTGGAGGTGGCGATGGGAGCGTTACAGGCTCTGCAGGCTCTTGCAGGGCTCTGGGTGCTTATTTAAGGGAACGGCACTTTGCTTCTCCGTGTCACGCGGGCCAGCCACGAAAGGCAGCAACTGCGGACCTTCTGAGCGGAAAGGCTAGGTGACTCCAGTTTTCCAGGATCAGCGCAGGCCCTGCCCCGCCTCTCCCCACCGCAGAGCTTCCAGATCAGAGGGGATGGAGGACAGGCTAAACCACAGCAGGCCAACTCCAGCCCATTGGCAGGGCTGCCTAGAGCACGGCTGTGACGACCCCAAAGCTCATCGGGCAAGAGCCCTGTGGCGTGTTGGGGTGTCTAGCTGGGCGCCGCAGGAAAAGAGGAGCACGCGTGCCGGTGTAGGAAGCATCTCCGCCTCCCCCACCCCCAAGAACGCGCCCCTGGGAAAAAGCACTTGTGCATGCAGCTGCTGACCTCAGGGCACCGGGTCACTGAAACAGGGGCTGAGCAACCCACCAGGAGAGTGGGGAACCATCCCCCAGCCCCATCCCAACTCTCTTCTGGAGCCGCACCCTACACTGCAGTCTGTAAGAGAGCTGAGGCCGGAGCAGGAGGAGCGAGCAGTGCTAGCCGCAGGCCTCCGCCCGGTGGTTCTCAAAGTGTTGTCCCGAGTTTATGAACATCAGCGTCACCTGGAAACTTGTTGGAGATGCCAGTTCTCGGCCCCACCCAGCTCTAGCAGATCAGAAGCTCTGGGCGAGCCCAGCCATCTGTGTTTAACAAGCCCTCTGGGTGATTCTGACACAGGCTGGAGTGTGAGAACCCTGCCCCAGGGGAAGGCGGCTTCCCCACTGGCTGTTTGCTGAGCATCTTCAGAGAGCCCTGCTGTCCGGGCGCTTAGAGAGAGGCGCCCTGCCCTCTGGTTTTGGGCGAGTGTTCTCTTTCTAGGTCTGGGGGGCCTGGGCTGTCACCGGTCTGGCTTCCACCTGCGCGTACATTTGCAGTCTTGACGGCGTCCTAGGCTGTGCCGCCGCCAAGTCTGCCACAGGTGTCCTGTAACTCGGGGGGACCCTTGGGCTCGTGTGCTGCTTTCTGTCAGTCTCAGGGAACCCGCGCCTTTCTCCAGCCCATCTCAGGAACACAGCGCTGTTGCCTGGCGGCCTCTGGCTCTGGTGCTGCCCCCTCGGTTGGCCCGCAGCCCCCCTCTGCCCTCAGCTCTGATGGCTCCCCAACAGATGTTCCTCTTCACATTACAAACACTGCAAGAGCAAGCCGGGCTCATTGCAAATTATACTAAAACGGAACAGAAAGATAAATGCAGCAATTTCCTTATCCCGTAGCCCTCCCCTCCCCACATCCTCTATCACCCCTGCCCACTCCTGCCCCAGTGAGCCAAAGTTCTTGCTGTCTTGATGATTTGCAATTCTCTGCATGACTCTGCCTCTTGGGTTTGTTTAATTAGAAATAGGCCGGGAAGTGCTTCCTATGCTCTGGCATGTTAATTGCTTATCAGAGAAGGAGAAGGGGCGAGGAGGCTTGCTGATGGAAATTTCCGTTCTCCCTCCATCTCTGGGTTGGTCTCCATTGTTCTCGCCCACCCCTCTCCTGGCCTCCTGCTCTGCCTCCCTCCCCCTCGCTCTGGCCACGGTTGGCCTTGCTGCTCTTCCTCCCTCTCTCCCTGGGGCTCTCCTGCTCACAGGACCGTCTGGGGACCAAGAGCAGGGCCAGAGGCCAGAATCTAAGCCAAAAAGGAAAAACTGTCCCCTTTTGCCACATCCCTGGTTCTCCCTCTCACAGTACCCCAGCCGCACCCCGACCCTCTCCAGGCTTCGAAGAGATGCCGGAGCAAAGAGCTCTTCAGTGAGACTCAGTATTCGGAGGATTATTTTCCTTTCATTTCCTTTCCCCCGTATCATTATTATTATTATTTAT